CGTTGGGTATTCGTGGATTTGCCTGCTGGCTACAATGGATTTGTACCCCAAGACCACAACTTGCAGCATCTTTGGAGCCACCGGAAGACACTGGCGGCGGAGGAACAAAGCCTCAGAGTGGCCGGCCTCACGAGCTTCCGGCGTGGAACAAGGTGGAACAAGGCTGAACGGGCGGCGCTGCTGTGCTGCCAGCACTCAGCTCTCGCACGCACGCACGGCACAGATGTGTTCTTCTCAACATCGACTTCCTGCTGTGCTTCTCACCTGTGGTGCCTTTTGCTGGTGAGTCTGTGACTTGAAACGGCCCCCATGTGTCGTGCTGAAATGCTGGTAATGTCTCCAAGGGCACGGAAGCTGTGCTGTGCCCCCCCACCCCAAAAAAAACCCCCGTGTGTTGCTCAAGCTTTGCCCAGGCACCGGTTGTAGTGCTGGGGGCAGCGAGTTACTCAGTGTTAGTGAAATCAACACTAGACATGACACCAGGGATCTTTAAACAGAAACACACATAAAACAAGATTATGTTGTGATCCCTTGATGAACAAGGTTGTGGCCAGAGGCTCATCAGAACGCAGCCTTGTATTTCTCCTGGGGGCAGAGCTTTAGTTTAAGCTAATTCAGGGTTCTCAGTGATGCGATAGAACAGGCTGCAATGAGGAATGAGCATCCACGGAACCTCTCAGGCTGCTTGGAGGGACAAAGGAGTGTAACAAAACCCCGAGCATGGCAAGAGCTTAATAAATATGGACTGTTATTCAAATTCCTTCTAATCTTCCAAGATCAAAGAATGTCCCATCTCTTCTATGAAAAATCTGAATAGGCTTGCCCAGTCCACAATGGCGTCTTATCTTTGGAAAGTAGGTCATGTGTAGTTATTTGATACTTAGCACCCAGTGACTGCTGTGAGGTGTTGGAAAGAAACAAATCTGGATTTAAATCTCGACACTGCCATTAACAGTGTAATTTGGAGTGTGTAGCCTGAGTTTTGCCCTCTGTGAAATGGACATTGTAATACACTGTTAGGGTGAGTCAGGGACCCTCGGTAGCATAGCGGTTACGTGCTGGGCTGCTAACCTCCAGGTCAGCGGTTTCAAACCGCTGACCATTCTCTTCCTTGGGCGAAAGACTTGGCTTTCTACTCCCATAAAGAGTGACCATCTCAGAAACTCACAGGGGCAGTTCTTCCCTGTCCTGTGGGGTCACCCTGAGTGGCACCGACTCGATGGCAGTGAGTTTGGTTTGGGGTCAGGGCTAGTATGAGGACTAAAGAAAGTATTGCTTCATGCCTCATCCAGGCCCTGACTCATGGGGGCTGTTTTTAGGCCCCATCAGGGTGGCCTCTGACTCACAAGGATTCTATGCACAAGGGAACACAGTACTGCCCAGTCCTGAGACTGGCCGTGGTGATTCATGGGATTTTCATGGGAGGATTTCTGAAAGTAGATTTCCAGGCCTTTCTGCCTGACTCATGGTGGGTTTCACAGGCACCAGCTGCTTCTTGGGTGAACGAGGAGGCCTTCTACTTCCGCGGAGACTTACGGTCTCAGAAACCCGCAGGGGTCGCTGTGAGTCAGAATCGACTCGATGCCAGTGAGCTTGGTGTGATTGTTGTTTAAGGAGGGTCACCCTCACCCCGGGCCTGCCCCAAGTTTTAGCTATTCTAAATAACATTGCATCACTTGTCTTTGTATATGAACCCTTGTACCTCTGATTGATTCTTGAGGATCATTCCTAGCAATGGCAAAACTTCGTCAAAGGAGACATATCAAAGGATCTTGGCAAAGATTGTTAACTTGGGTCTCTCTAAAAATGGTGCCCAAGTTCCACCCTGAATCAGCAGTGATGCAGGGTGCCCAGTACACTTCTCCCTTGCTGGGGCTACTGCTGCTGTTATTTAATGCTTTATTTATTATCTTCCAACCTCAACCATGATCCCCTTGGGCAGACATTGTGGACATCTGCTTCTTGATATGTGCCAGATAATTTTGCTTGACCCCATTCATATTGCCTCTTTTGCTGAACTTTGCCAGACTAATTTTTATTCACAGCTCTCCTTTGGAGGTTAAGTGTTAGAGAAGGTTTTAAAACAACACTTCTAAATTAGTTGAATCTAGAGAAAGGATTATAAAATTTCCCTTGTGAGATGGGTGTGTAGGAAAGAATTCACAGTTAGTTGACTGATGCCCAGGGGACTTTGATGAGGGAAACCCAACCCAATACAGTGCCAAGGGTCAGAGTGGACCTACAGGGCAGGGCAGAACTGCCCCTGTGGGCTTTCGAGGCTGTCAGTCTTTATAGGATCGGAAAGCCTCTATCTTTCTCCCATGGAGTGGCTGGTGGTTTTGAACCATGGAACCTAAAGTTAGCAGCCCGACTTGTAGCCCACTATACCACAAGGGCTTCTGAAGGAGGAATTAGCCCAAGAGAAAAGGAGATGTTTTTCAGAGCCAGCTCCACAACAAGCTTCAAAATAATTTTCTACACTGCCATGCAGTCTTCCTTCCTCACTCACTGGGCGTGGAGAGGGGCGGGTCTCCTCTTAAAACTCTGCCAGAACTCAGTGGAATTTTCCAGATGGGTCCTCTTGATGGCTGCTGGCATCATTGCAGGGTTGTCCTCCGGGAGCCATTTGGCTGCAGGCCCTGAAGCCTTCACAGGCGTGTGAGCAGGTCTGACTGTCGGATGTGTGGGAAGGAAAGTCACGTAGGATTTCAAACCGTTAAGTCCCACCTTTATTTCCTTTGTGTGAGCTCTCTACTAAATGGTGAGAAATGGGATAAAGTGAGGAGGGTCTCACGTCCAACACACACACACACACACACACACACACCAGCCCGCCACCCCAATGCAGCGTCCTAGATCACTCCCTGGCTAGATCACTCCCTGGCATGAGGTACCTTTCCAAAGGCCTCAGAGTCAGGAGGCTCTGCAGGGAACTGGTTATTACAAGTGCTTCAGTTTTGTTTGTTTTGTGTGTGTGTGTGTGTGTGTGTGTGTGTGTGTGTTTTAACAGATCTACATGCTCACCGTGAAGATGAGTCGATACAGCCTCTTCCCCACCTCTGGTCAGAAAACAAAAATCTGCACACCATAGACAACCTCATGGTAAACGGAAACAAGATTGGAGTTGCCAAGGTTTTCATTTTGCTTGGATCCACAGTCAGTGCTCATGGAAGCGGCCATGGAGAAATCAAAGGACATCTTGCTTTGGGCAAACCTACTGTGTAATCCT